CGGTTGAAATTGGTTTGTGTGGAGAAGTCGAAAATGTGAGAAGTTAACAGATGACCACTACACATGGTTGCTGGACACCCTTTGATCAGAAAAGCTCAATTGAGCCTTTGGCTCAGTTGAGCTAAAAAGTGAGATTTTAAACTGAATTTATATTGTATACACACTCATTCATCATTCCCAGTTCCTTCTGCAAAGCATTAGACATAGACTCTGCAGCAACATCTTGGACAGCTCTGCCAATCTCTTTCTGTCTATTGTCTAGCATGGCATGACTAACAGGTGGTATATTCAGCTCAGAAAGGAGACTGTTAACTTGAGTTACACCAATGCCAACATGTACCATTGCTGTAAATACAAATTCAAAAATGAAAAAAAAATATCAATCTAATTAAAACAAGAGGCTCTTGAACCACAACACTCACCTGAGTCTCATTTTTCTCTGTATTCCCAGGAAATAAAAAAAAAAAAAGATCCATACTGTACTCAAACCCCCAAGGGGTAATGGCTACCAAACTTAAATTGATCTACATAACATTGGGATGATTCAATATCAATATGATTAATACGGTTATATGGCTTTGCTCTTCTACAGAGAAGATGATTTTTAATTTTTAAAGATTTTTTCCATGTACTATTGCATTATGTAAAATCTGTTAAGTCCAGTGGTTCAGAGAACAAATCTAAACAAGAAGTCTGTGAGCCAATGCTCACTAGTAATACCCCTGCTCTGATGTAAATATATGTTCTCATGTAGAAACACAGATATAGAGAATTTACGGATATAGTGAAGTTTTTTGGAATCCCCAGCAAAATTCTTAACAAATCCTAAGAAAATATTACAGCTATAACAAACTCTGATATGACGAATTTACAGATATAGCAAACTGATTTTGTGTCCCGTAGAGATTAAAAATAATAAAAATTACATCTTTTATAATGAATTTTTATAATGAATTGCAAATTCAATATATATACTTTAACAAATTCGTAATACAGATATAACGAATTACGGATATAGCGAAGTAATTTCACAGGTCCCTTGGACTTTGCTATAACTGAGTTTTACTGTATATACACAAGTTCAGTTGCGACAGAAATTTGGTATGGACAGACGCATGAATAAACAGGAAGTAGACATCTGATTCGTATAAAAATGAATCCCACCATATGGCATGAGAAAACAAGAGCACCGCTAAGAGGAGCATCCCCTCGCAGAGGAACTTCACCAGTAATGGTAATGTCTCCATACGAGAGAATAATTCTCAAGAGGGATGTTAAGAAAGATACAATCACCTAGTTATCAAGGGCACCCACTATTACTATATAAAGTTTACAATAAGGTAAAGTACATAAAATGTATTGCAACACTAATTAATTTTTTAACAAAAGTCAAAGTTGATATTATCTTGGGGGGGGGGGGGGATGGGGGATCCATTTTTAACAAAAATTAAAAGTGCATATCATATTGGTGGGGAGAGGTGGGGGCATAACATGCATACGTAATTGGGCAGTTTCCCTTATTCCTAGCAGAAACATATCACGTATGCTCTAAGTTTCAGTAATTTACCTATGCAATATGCATAAAATCTGAGAATACCTGTGGACGCAATATTTTTTCGTAATGAAAAATAACAATATGTCAGTGTTGAGAGGTCAATGAAACTTGCGAAATGTCTTTATAGCTTTCAGAAGAAATAAGGATAAATTCTATATTGTAAACAGACACATGTGGAAATTTAATAATGAAACTGCAACGTTCATCAAATTATTTCAATTACTCAGTGTCAGAGATGACACTTTTAATTCAGACAGATTGTCTCAAGATACGCACAATAATATGACAATATAAATATGCAAATACATAGTAGAACTTACTGAAGCGAGTCTATCGAAGCTATCCGAATTTACCAGTTTGATTAACAGGAAGTGAGTATTGTCAAGTCGTACATAAAATTTCAGGGCTTGAAGGTACGCAATATTTAAAGAAATATTTCACTGATTAACTTGAAAATGAATAGGATTTGTCCTTTCACAATCCCACATAAGTATGTGGAAGCTGAGATTTGATAGTTCAAAGGTTCTCCTTAAATCTTGCCAACAAGCTGTAACGGACACACTAACACACACACAAACACACACATATATGCACAGTAGCGATGCTATATCCTCTCCGCAACTAGCTGCGCGAGGGGATAACAAAGAGTGTGCTAAAAACACAAGGGTAAAACAGTTTACCCCCCTCTCCTTTGGAGCAGGGGTATAATTTTGTAAAGTTAACAGACAGACAGATAAATGGAAAAACTTAGATCAGAAAGCTCAAATGAGCCTCTGGCTTCAATAAGTTAAAAATGGCTTCTCAACAAGTTTTTATTCTGAACTAAACATTATATATATATATATATATATAAATTCTTTCAAGTTCATGCAAAACAAGTGGCACTTATGAAATCTTTGAACAATGGGGAAAAACCTATACGTACAAAAATGAGCTAAAATTTAATTAGGCTCTTGTGACCTGACAAAAATTAATATATGTGTATCTGATGTAGGGGATGTGTAAGTGAAACTTCTCACCTGCTGATAGTTTTGTATTTACATCCCACACTTTTCCATGTTTTTTCCCCGTTTTTACATGGTTAATATGATTACACTTTGTATTGCTGCAACAGACCTGAAATGTGAATGTAAAACCAATGAATCCCCAGTTACAGGTCACTGTAATAAATTCATTCACCGTTAATGAATATCAAATGCTGGGGAAAAAAAGAATTTCAATATGCATCATTTCAAATATGATAAAAAAAAATATTGTAAAACCTTTCAAAACTTTTAATAAGGACATGGAATAATGCCTATTTTACATTGAGAAAAATCCATGAAAAAAAACCTTTCAAGCTTTCAAAGTTGTTTTCTAACTAACTGGACATAAATTTATGAGTTTATACCTTTAACAAAGAAGCTAAACCATGTGTCAGTACAGAAATTGTGTGTGAAAGTTGCAATGGTAAGCCACATTTACAACATCCCCGCAAGCCCTCAGCTAACACTCCAAGTTCTACCACTCTCCTTCCCTCCTTCCAATCCTCAGATGTAGTCACTTCTCCCCCATCCACCACCTCCTCTCTTTCCAGTATATTTAAATTTGGCAATTCTATTAATAAAGAATGAATAAATAAAAATTATCACCAGGATACACATAACGTTCTTTACTATCTACACATGCTGACAAGTTGACTACTTTTGATACACTTACAACAGTTCATAGTGCCGATATACAGCATATTTTTGACATTTAAGAGGTAAGTATATGCTATTTAGCATGTGCATATATGCATAACAAAATTCATGCATTCATGGTGTTGGGATAGTTAACTTGACAGGGTTGTGCATCCAAGTTCTGCTGTTTTGTTCCATTTTACTAAGAAGTAACACAATATAAACAATTTATTTCTATTATTATGGTTTTGGGCCAGTCTTTTTAAAATTTACTGGCCCAATGTGACAGTGAAAGTACTAGACTGCTGAGTTAAAAAATTGACCAGTAAAAATTTAAGCGATAGCCTGAGTGGCCAGTGAAAAAAAAAGTAATTATTTTTAGTCCTGGACCTGTTATAAGATAAATAAACCATCCTGATCAGTGGCGGATCCAGGAATTGCATAACAGTAGAAGGCAGGGGGTATGGGGGACTGCATTGACCCCCAGTGGGTCTAGGGCAAAGCCCTGGTGGGGGCCTGGAAGCTGATGAATTCTTACAAATAAGAGATGTTTTTTCCTTGATTTTAGGATAATGGACATAAAATTTCTACATACAAAAAATTCAAAAGGGGGGGGGGGGCTGGCCCTGTATCCACCTTTGCTGATAGAGATTTCCAAAGTTTCTCCAAATATGTTGTTGAAATCCATTTTATTTGTTTTCAATCTCTTATTTGCTATGACATCTCAACCACACATACATGATGACACAGCCTATTCACACTGTGTTACGAAAATACAAACAATTAATGAATAAAGGTAAAGGGAAAATCAAAGAAAATGTAACAACAGAAAATTCAATGTTTTGTAGTTGTATATGGAATTTATTTCAATCATGAGACAGGATTTTTTTTTAAAAATAGATTTTCATTTGTGTTTTCAAAGACACTTGTGAAAATATAAAAAAAAATCCTATCCCACTAGTGAAATAAATTCCATATTCAGCTACAAAACATTAATCATCCGCTATGTATCATGATACACTGGAACTGCATCTCAGTATTGTGATAAATATTGTGAGATTTCACCTTTCATACATTTTTGCATAATTTGTGTCAATCTGTTTTGTAATGTAACTTTCCATCACAATGTGAAGGGATCAAATGAGTATATTATTTCATCAAGCTTTAACATTTTATAATCTTTGAACCACAGCAATGAACAGCAAAAGTAAATTAAAAAAATATATATCTTCTATATATTTATTACATGTAGGTTAAACTATAAAAAAAATTAACATATAGGCCTATGACTTAAGGACTAGAACGGCGCACTGTAATGGACATCATGTGCCTTCCTTTAATATTTCTAAGATAGATCTAACATAGATGCAGATGTGCAAACTGGTTTTTTTTTTAGATATGATACACGTATGTATACAAACCTTGATCATGATCAATGTTAACAGGAGTTGCACTGGCGGAGTAATTGTGGTCTCTAAGAATAGCTCCCCTAATCCATCGGGTCAATTGCCCTGCAGATACTTTTTCATATCTCTTCTTCTTCGTTTTCGAAACGAACCCATGGCGTCTGTACTTTGGTTTCACCATCTTAACCAAAGTTTACGCGCCGAACGTTACTTCACGTCTGCTTTTTACTTACATTATCGTAATCCGTCTCACATGTCTTAATTTTCCGCGAAATATAAAATAGTTATTATATGTTTTCTTCTGGCACAAAAATCAATATTATGTTACTTTCTACGGATAATTATTATAATTACTTAAAATAAACTATTATTTTTCTGTCATACTGAATTCTTTATTAAAACGACATTCAGACCAATTTCCGGCAGTTCGAGTTGCGCGGTGTATTCAAATTCGTCAGAAGCGAAACACCTTAAGTAAACTCGCCGGTTTGCTGTGTCAGAGACTGCGAACAATCCATTTGGTAGACAACAAGCATGTCGCAGAAAACAAGGATGTGAATCTTTAGGCACATTTTTCACAGATACACTTGTCACAAGATTTTCCTTTTCAGTATATATTTTTGCTTTTGCTGTCCACATTATCTGATTTGAAGATGGAAGAGATGCACACAAAGATGATATCCCATGGCGAGTTTCCCGTAAAATTAAATCTCTGCTGAAGTCCGACATTTCATTGTCCGTCGACAAACAAGAAATACCATCCTTCCAAACAGAAACAGCTAATGCTTCGGAAACTTCAATTGATTTCAATATTTTACCAGATGTCAGTGAGACCATAAGCATTTTTTCATTAGCTTTATCCACTGTTACGAACTTGTCATTGCCAATCCAAGCAATGCCACTGTAAACGGGTCTCACAAAATTACACTTTTCTTTCGGGTAAATCTCCCTTATTAGTGTTATTCTACATTTTTTCCTGCTATTTTCCGTTTCTTCGTCATCTTCCGATGTTTGATCAGATGAAGAACTACCTGAATTGTCACTGGAATCCCCTGGTTCACGATACAAATCGCTATCCGTGATTGTATTGTTGTACGTCAGTTCTAACTCTGGTTCCGTTACATGAATCTCAATCTGCGGCAAACATTCTTCGAGTAAACACTCACAATCATTTAAAATACTTTCTTTTGTGAGGCTTTGGAAGCGTTCTTGAATTTTTCCGAATAAAGGAAAAACTTCATTATTCATTCCGTTTTGCATAATTTCAGAAAACTGTAGAGACGCTTCAATATTCTTAGCCACTTTAGATAATCTGTCATGTTCTTTTTGAAGGGATTGCATCTTTGGTTTTGCAAAGCCTTCTAATTCTTGCAGCATTTTATGCCGTGTTTTATCTATTTTACTTACTGCCTCCGAACATTTCTGCATTATATCTTTACGTAATTTTGTTTCCATTGATGTGACATCTTCTTTCCTGGATTCAATTGATCGTTTATTTTCCTCCAAAGTGGACAGTTTAGTTTTCAAATCGTCAAATAATTTTTGTATAATTAGTTGGTTTTCTCTTCTTAAAAGGGACGTAAGTTTGACTTCATGGTTCATGTGTTGTAGCAATTTGCAATCACAACAAGCAAATGCTTCACATGAAATACAGAAGTAGCTCAGTGCTCTCTTTTGATGCAGGTCGCAATTTGTTTTACACTGTGATGATCTTATTTCTTCATAATACTTTCCTGATCTTATTTCCGACAAAGACACTACACGGTGATGCATAGTTAAAGAGTTGAAAGTATGTCTCGATTTTGCACATTCTTTACAAAAGAATTCTAAACACGTTAGACATCTAGAGTTGGCTGGCTTGATTTCTTTAAATTTGACCTTGCAAAATGAACATTCATGGTTTGCTGAGTCCGTAAACGTTTTGAAAAGATCAGTTATGTTCTGCAGATACTCACTGGTTTTTAAATCATCAGGTTGTATCACAAAGTCCTCCTCGCACAGGGAGCAATGAAATAATTTCTTTTCAGAACATGTTTCGAAACAATTTAGAATACAAGTTTTACAGAATGAATGCAGGCATGGTAATGTTTTTGGTTCTGTGTATAATTTGGAACACAGGGAACATTTAAGATGCTCTGGGTGTCTGATTATAGATTGCCCTTCCATTTCATATATTTTCCTACAAATACGTACAGAGATTAAACACAAGTCTATTTGAGATTTACTCAGTTTAAGCAATTTTACTGAAATGCATTACTTAAAAAATGAATTGATATTCCTTGAATATTACCTATAAATTATTGATTCCAGTAACAGACCCCTGAAGTTACATTTGCTAATTTATAAACAATTCCTGTATAACCCAAAATGCTAAAATTGTCAACCCAGTAGGTAAGTTTTCTGGGTAAATGAGATGAAATACCCTTTATAGTATGGTAAACAATTTTTTGCAACAAGTTCATTATTTTAATTAAAAACGCAGCTCTAGTGTACAGGAAAAACCTGTAATTTTTCAGGAGGAATTTCCTGCACGAAATCAAGGGTTGCATTTACGCTATGACGTTAAATTATTTGCTATTTTACTATTTTTTGAAGTTGTTGCCATTTTACAAGAACTGATCATGACAAAGTAAAGTTACTCAAATATTTGTAAATTCTGTCAGAGATTCAGGAACACAAATCGTATAGTTTGTTTCTCAAGGTGACCCAAAGCATCAGTCATGATGCATTTTGAGATGAGGCATGGACACATGTTTTGTACCTATTGATGATCTTAAAAATAAACTAAAAGTTTACGTTCAGATATCGTTTACTTACCATACTTTAAGAAAAGCAGATGTTGAGAAGACAATAATATTATGGCTGCCGAGTTGTTTACCAGTGTACATGTATCTGGGTTAACGTCAATGCAATGCATCAATGGTTATCGATTGTCTGCACTTTAAATACTTGTTATACAAATTATTAGAGACTAGAGTGCTTGGCTTGGTGACATATTTTGCAACACTTGAAAAATGGAATTTTTTAAAATAGCCCATGTATGTGTTAATAGCCTTTATGTGGAATATAGCATGACAGTCTCTCTTGTAAAAAAAAAAAAGGGATACCGTTATGCCAATGAAAATATGTTGAAAATGCTTCCATGAAAAAGCTCTTTTAAATTTACCACAAAAAAGTTAAAGAATGAAATTTTTGACTTCGTTAAAAATGTCAATAAATGTAGTTTTTTTTTGGTCGGGTCAAACCTGATCTTTTAAGAAATGTTGAAAACGTGACAGTTTTTGCCAAACGATCATTATAGCAAATAAAAATCACGGGTCTTACGATTGAGGTTTTTAAACATTGAGACTTTGTGTCCCGACAACTGCTGGCGTAATTAGAGTTTGTAGTAGTAAAGACCAGTAGCAGTTAAATAGTCTGAATGTGACGGTTTCACAATAGCTAGACAAGTGTATAATGTCGCAACAAGAGTTTTAATTGTTTTTTAAAAAAATTTAACAAACATATCACGTAGTCACTTCTTGTTTGTTTGAAAATATAGTTTTATATTTCATGCAGCAATAAAATGAATGTACTGAGGGAAGTTGGGTATAGCGTATTAATTGGGCTACCAAAAGTCATACATATTTAACATTACTCTCTCAGTATTTATTTTAGAAAAAGCTGTATTCTACGATGAGAAAAATCGATTATAGTCATTGCAGATCCGGCTTCGGATGCAATTGCTGCAATATTTTTTATGCATGTTTTTTACCTTCCTAAATGAAGATGTTATATACGCTAGACAAATTTGCTAACGCACAACCAAAATAAATTTATATCTTTCTTTTCAAAGCTTGTTTATGATGTTTTTGATATATAATCATGTGACTTAAATAAAAATTGAGGCATTGAATGTCTTAATTAATAAATAACGACAATGTTTACTGAAGCGTAACCATTTCATAGAAATATTTTTAAAAAAAATCATGTCCATACTTTTTTTGTGGAATAAATTTCTATTTTTTTTCTTTGTGGTTGTGTTCTTTGTGTTTGTACTAATGAAAAACTTGGAAAAAAGTTACACCGTATGCGGCGTTTGACCTTAGAAGAGCGTGCTAAGACAGTCAGTATGGTGTCTGCAATGAGTTCTTTTGGAGAAATTTGTGAAAAATATAAAATAATTAAAAGATTATTCATTCTTCTAATGAAAAAGTGTTGCAAATTGATTAACAATCATAAAAAATGCTAATTAGTATAGATAGTGACGGTATTAAGTAAGCACCACACAATAATTTCAAGATTATTCCAAAAAAATCTGGGGCAACCGGAAGTTGGGTGGATTTGGTAAGGACAACAAGGCATTGGATGACTACTAAGCGATATGGTAATCAGTCAGAATATATTATTTGATCGAAAAGTGGGAGACTGCTCCCATCACAACCTCACGGACCACCTTTGGTAATCACCAACTTCATATCTTGGCAAAAACGGTGCGCAGTGCACGTCGGGATATTGGTTTTCGGGCAAGATGGTCCTTTAAGAGTCTTGTCATGACACCAAGACATTTGTTAATCCAACTGTTTTGGAAAAGATGACATTTTATGAAGCAGTACCGATCAGGCAAATGATCGATTCACAAATAAGAATAACAAGTGGTGCGTTAGCAATTTTGTCTAGTGTATCTCAAAAATTTCCGATTAAATATAGATTATTTGTACGTAAGGGGAACTTAACGCAGAATGAGTACCTTATACATAGGGGTGCGTTTTGTTGGAGTGTCATAGACATTTTAGTTCCCTACAGTGCGTTGCAAGTGATGCATGTACTTTTTTCTGCAAATTGGAACTTTATCAAAAAGATGATATATATATATATATATATATATATATATATATATATATATATATATATATATATATATATATATATATATATATATATATATATATATATGGTTGTGCCATTTAGGAGACCGCTCATATTTATATATTGGCATTAAGTAGCCTCGTAGAATAAGTGGACCAAAACCGGTCGCCTTAACATTTTGACCCTCTCTGAACAGAAAATTAATGACTTTTTAATATTAAATTGACAATAGTTAATTTTAGTTTAGTATATTTTTGTCCCTTAAATACAAAAAATATGCCAAAATTTTATGATTATAGAAATTTTTAAATTTAAATTTCAAGCAACGTATATATTGGTATTATTATATATCGTCATTATGTAGACCAGCTAAAACTTGCAAAATTAAATAAGATCTGCTATATATGTCTTATTTCTCCTAGTATTTAGTTTTAGATATTGTTCTCCCACTAATTTTGGGTATGTACAATTTGCTAAATAGAATAAAACTTTTTACGAGAAAATGAGCTTTAGAGTTTCGTGTTCATCAACTTCAAGGTTTTCGTGCGCAATGCCTTCCGAAAATTTTCGGAAATCCTCGGTATCCTTTACGACCTTCTGAGAAATAGGAGTCAGACAAAATTTTGGTAAGTAATAACAAATTATGATTTTTTAAAAATACTTATTCATGATATATTGACTATATATTATGCACCCAATATCTTGCGGTTAACGTCTGGTATTTATTCATTGATAAAGACTTACGTATACTTATTAGCATGGAGGAAATTCGAATTGTAGTTTACCAACAGCGTGGTTTCAACAGATCGTTTGTTTGTTTTGAACATATATTATTGACATAAGCAAATGGATCGGAAACAAGTTCTTACAACTTACTTGTTCCTAACAATTGATTACATGTACTTGAACAAAATAATTGTAATCTCTGCTTATTCATAAATATATACTGAATAGCATAATATTAGGCTGGTGGTATCGTTCTTGCGGAGATAAATTAAATATTCGATAATTTACCTGAAATACTAACTCTAATTTCCTATTATATGTGGGGTAGGGTTGGGTTGGAAATGGGAGTAAGGTGTTTCTAGGTTCAAACTTTTTTCACAGCCTAATCCAACCAGCCTTTCCTGAACAATTTTAATAGTAAAAGATTAATTGGGGGAGGGGAGGAGCCCCCCCCCCCCCTCCAACCACGATACCACATCTCTGATGTCTATGGCAGCGGATACATACATGCATATATGTACATACAAATTTATGTATCTGACAGCATCCCCCTTAGATTTCTTGTACATAAAACATAAAGTTGATTTGGACAAGCCCAATATAGCAACAATTTTGAAATATCTTCAAAAATAAAGAGGAATTAAGGGCTACAAACTGCTGAAAAATTCAAAGGGACCAGATTAATATTTTTGATCGGGTTAGGAGTGGGGTTTGGGTGCAGGATGTGTGGAAATATTTTGTGTATATTCCATATAGGCAAAAAGGCTGTAGGCTACACATCATTTTTTTTTTAAGGATAGAAATTTGGTTGAAAAGGGGGGAGAAAAGTTGATGATAAATGTTATCTATTAATTTCATTTTGTTGCAAATGCCAAAAAAAGAAGCATTTTTGACAATGCGCATTTTTGTACCCATACTTACAGTCTAACTTTCTGTTTAATGACAAAAATATTCCTATAACTGGAAATAAAAATTAAGCCAAAATTCAAGTATTATATTAGGTCTGCATCAGCCTCCTTGCTTACCCATTATTTGTGCCTCAAGTTAAATCTGTGACATCACACTAGCCGACACATTACATGTAGTAGAAAGTAATAATATTATTATACGCCAATGATATTCTAAACAATCTATTACACTGTACCTTTTGGCATGAATGGAGGATTAATTAACAGGTTATATCAGAGATAAGCATATCAGTTAATAGTTATATGTATTACACTTTCCATGATTGAGTAACAAAAGATATACTGTATAATTCTTGCAATATTTTTTCTATAATAGTAGACTCAGTTAACATCACCACCGTTAAAGAATTTCGATCTACAGCACTGCTGATTTAATTTCTCAGATTTTATTAGAGATCTACAAGTACCTTTACAGGTCACTTAATTAGTACATGTATCTCAAATTTAATTGGGCAAATGAGAATTTTGTCTTTAACAACTTAAATGACTCAAAAATGTATTGCATGTTCAACATGTTCAGGGTAAATTATTTCCTTTATCATGAATTTATTCTAGTTTTATGGGAGAATATATTTATAATTATGAAAGTACTAGTAAATCAGTCTACACATAAGTAAGAATTACCTCAACTATTTGAATTACTTCGCAGAATTTATTGCATTGTCTTTCTTACTTAACAATCATGTAAAACTTTATTTCATGGCCGTAGGAACGGGGGGGGGGTGCCCCCAATAATTGTGCCGAAATATAGAATACTAAAGAAAACATAGCTACTATATGCTTGTGCCCCCTCAATAAAAACGCCTGATGACCTTTTGTTTTTTTTTTAAGCTTGTCAAGGAATTTTGGTTGTTACATGTAGTGCCCCCCAAAGAAAATGCATGGCTGTCCCCCCTCCCCCAAACTGAAATTGCTTCTTACGGGCCTGTATTTATTGATTTAAATTTTTTTTTTTAATGTTTCATTTATTTATAAACCTATTAAGTGTTTCATTTTGAAAAGAAATATTAGAAGATAATCATAGTTTCAGAAAGAAGTTGAAATTAAATAATAAAAGAGACCCTAAGAAAAATTGCTTGTTGTCATTGTCAAGCTTGAACAAGTCCAGATTCATATGAAACAGATCCTGATCAATTTAAGCATTTTTTTTTTTAACATATAATGAAAAAAAATACTGTTTATCTTATGCAGTTGCCATGGAGAAATTAACTTGCTTATACTCTCAATTTAGTTACAAAACCATATAACAAGCAATATTTTTTTTATTTTAATAAAATTGTTATGCAGAGTCTACATATATTACTTGTATATCTACATATGTAGATTAGAAACTTTCGGTCGGGTTCAGTTTAATTTTGATCGGGTTAGTTAATACATTGTTGAGTCTTTTGATCAGCATCAGCATGGACATGGTTTGATGGTATGATAATATTTTTACAGTTTCAATTTCTAAACTTTCCAGGAAAGTTTAATTCCTGCATTTTGTACATTGGCTATATATATGCCGTATATTTTCCCATGAATTTTTTTTTGAAATTATATTTTTAAAATTCTGACAAGATTTCTGAGGAAATTTTTAACTGCCTAGGGTGAGATTTATGACAGTCTGAGACATTTTAAACCAAGTCTCTGAATAAATTAGATTTTGTTGACTTGTTTGCATTTATGCATTTATTTTTATTATAGTGTGTTCGGTACCACATAACATACGAGAATACCTTCTCCGGTATGTTGGAGAGAAGATTAGCAAGAAAAAATCGCGTGAGAAAATGAGAAGTTGACAGAAAAAGATTTTTTTCATTATCGAAAGGGACATGTACAACATTCATAATGGTAAGAAAAGATAATTATTTATAGTCATATTTATTTGTTTCTATAATGTTTCTTTCGATAACTTTTCACTCATATTGAAAAGCCAACACGTGAGAACCTCTGTACTCAGGACCCTTGAGCAATGAGTAATTTTGTTCATGCCAGCACCTACTACAACATGGGACCTCAGTTTCATTTGAACACCTGTCTCCACATCCTGCAGTGGGATTCGAACCTGTGATGTTAGGATCAACTCCTTTATCTGTGACTCTAAAGCAAACACTTAAACCACTGCGCCATGCAAGCAGCTAGTCATACATGTATTCCTTATGATGTGAGCTAGCATTATGAAAATTACATGTGCTGAAGATCATAGGTTGCTACATAGTTCTTTGTATGTTGCACTAAAAAAATATGGTGTTCATCAATGATTCATTTTGGTGTGCATCCTGCGTAAATTATGCACAAATTTTGCTCAGGACGCATTATTTTAATAAATGTGCATCCCAATGGACGCAATAAATTTATAGAAGAACGTGTATTATTTGGTATAATCCGATTTTAAACTTGACCGATTGCATCATATCCATGTGCTAAGCAATATGCATGAACAATTTTAACAGGTATATATAAGGTTGCCAACAACAGGTCAGATTTCACAATTGCAGCCAATTAACCAGCAATTATCAGAAAATATTTGAAAGTTAGATAACATAGTTCGATTATCACTGATTATGTCTATATTGTGGAACATTTCTGAAGCGAATACTATACCTTTGTAAAAGCTATACATGTAACCTGTATCATTTTTTGTTTTTTTTTGTTTTTTCCTTACAAGCTAAGAAGTTTAAAATTTAATCATTTTTATTTCTGACTGTTTTTTCATTTCTTCTTAAAAATTCTTTAATTATTTCATTCTGCTTCTGTGCATTTTATGACTGATACATTACAATGTGTGAGATCGTATGTACGATCTAAAAATAGAACCAAAGTGCACAGTTGACAATATATTATATTTATGACACAAAACATGTACTCTTACTTGGACAATTGATAGTAAAATTATAAAACTACTCACAGCAACAATAAAGCATTTGCTCTTTCGTGAAATAACTTTTTTAATTTCACCAGAATTTCCTCTGTAATATCTAATATATGACCCTTGGATTTGGATGCTCCGATTTTGTCATGGGACTCATTGTTGTCATTAAGGGGGGTCCTTTGGACCCATGATAACCATTTTCAAAATGAATCACTGGTTCATAGGTCTGGGACTAAAAGTTTATGAGGACATACTATCTTAATATCACCCACCCATTATCATCTGATCAGCATGATCAGTACTATTAAGCAGGAAAACAAATATTTGAAGAGACATACTGTAAAAATAATTTTGTAAGATCTTGGAAAACATGTAATTTTGGAAGTAGATTGACATATAAGTATATAATTTTTTTTTGTGGATAACAGTTGATTAGGGTAGGTGGTCACTGGTGTGATTTTGACCCATTATCTGATTATTTTTCATACTTAACTTAAGTTTTGTTCGAGTATATGTCAGTGTTTGTTATGCTACAACGTTTTCTGGGTAATTTTCTCTATGGAATACCTTTTTACAAGATTTCTTCTTTTTTTTGGAATTATTTATTGAATTTGCGAAATACATGTGTTCGACTTACAAGATATATGTGTTGGATTATTTCTAGTTAGAACAATCTAACTTTGTCTCGGAACAAGCCCTCGATCACCACAGTTAGAATATGTCCCATATACTAGCAATGTAGCATATTGGAAAGGATCCGCTCAGAAATGATTTTGAAGAATACAAAAAAAATTGCACTGAAAATAACTATCAAATTAATCATAACAAACCTTTTTGAGATTTTATATGCCTTTTAACCTAAAAAATAATCCATAGAAATAAGAAAATTCAACTCATTTTCTCAACCTTTTTTCCTCGCTTCAAAGGACAAGGTATGGTAACGGCTGAATCTGGCCCCTTATTTGATGTAAAAATCAGAACATAGTTAAAATAGTGATAGTTTGTAGTTAAGAACTAAAAATGATGCTTGTTTTAAAACCAGCACTAATTTTGATTCAAAGCTTACACAGAGACCAGAAGAGGGTGCAGAAGTAGGACAATTTCCTGAATTTTCTCAATTCTCTTGGAATATCCTCAAATTTGAGATACTTTTCACTTCGGGAAACATAGAGCACAAGCTTGCCTATCTGAGATTTTTATACATAAGATGCGTCTGATACTAGTATATGAAATATATAAATTTGGTAGATAGGCAAGCTTGTGCTCTATGTTTTCTGAAACAAAATGTGCTGTAAAATCAATGAAAATTTGCATAAAATGAGAAAATTCGGAAATTGACATATTTTCTGATCTTCCTGTGACCTGTATGTATCACATAACTTAGAACCAATACTCATTTTCTGGCAGGGGTGACAACAGGTTTCTATTGATAAACTGTTGTATCATTCTAAACAACACCCTAAACCAGGGGCCAAAAAGGGGTCTTAGCCTATCTTGTCCTTTACACGCCATGTTGAATTCAGAACTCTCTGGATTGTTCAAAGAAAATGCAGTCAGTTCGAGTTATCGAACTTGCTTATTTTGATAAATTGCCAATACACGGAACGAATTCTATCTTTAAACCAGGTCCGTAGGACAATATCATTTTAATGATTAGAACATTCTAACCTAGGTTATTGAGATCACAGCAACAATATATAAAAAAAATTAAAATTGAAATTATAATTTGCATCATCTCTTTTAAAAAAGAAAATATAAATTCATATTATTTTGTAAAACCAAAAAATATTGGTTTAAATATACTGACAATAAAAAAAAGAGACAATAATTCTCAAATTATGAATAACTTTTAATTAAAACATTTAGTGCACCTACAAGCACAGATCCCATGATTTGTAATATAATGCACACACAGGCATGTAAATCAAACATACAGATTTTCACTGATTAGCTAATATACATGTAGAACTAGTTTCAACTAAATACTCGTACAAATACAAAAGAAAAAAATAATTATTTTCCAAGCAAATAAAATGAAGAAATTAAAAGTTTTTGATTTTTATTTTGATTTAAAAATTATCAAAGAATACTTAAGTCGAACTTCATGAAAAAGAAAAGCTGAAATCAAAATATTTGTATCAATTTAAATGTCATGCTTGATAAATTTTGGAAATACTGACAGATACACCCTTGCATAACACATATACATGACTAAAATTGTAAATTTTTAGAGACTTTGGATATGCATGGTGTCAAACTTTGTCTCATTTTAATATAAAATGAAAAAATTATAACCGATTAAAGATATTGTGATCTGTATTGTAGCATAAATATTGTGATACCTAATATAGTATATTAGATATAGAATAGTAGACGAAAGTGTATTATCCCAGCCCTTTATATTTGCAGTGCAGTATAAAACAGTTCAATTATATAATAATGAAGTCAAGAGAATATGGACATGATTATATGTCAATTAATAGATTTTGTTTTCATTTTTGCAGGTGTGTCTGATGGAATTTGTCATTTCATTAATAAATAATGCTGATAAAGATGCAAACTTAGCAATTGTGCCAAAAAAGTGACAGCTTTGACAAGGAAATATATATCCATATATAACAGTTACTGGTACTGTATGAATGCAGTGAAAGGATCCAGATGAACAGATGAAGAGATTAAGTACAATGTACATCAATTACTTGGATGAAGAGAATCTGCAACATGGGGTAAGGTATATTTGCTGCTTTATTAGTTATAAACTGTAAATAAATTGTTAGCAGAAAATAGACACAAAAGCTTTAATTAAAGCAAATCAGGGGTAAATACTAACTTTTAAAGCATGCAGATACTCAGTGATAGACTGATAGTTTGATAGTATCATAAAAACCAAAAGAACTTCAGTGACTTTGAATTCCTGATAGCCCTAGCTGTTAATGAACTAGTTGCCCATTACAGCCTCTGGCTGCTTATGGAGTCATGACGTGATTGTTGGGGGAGGAGGAAATGAATTCCCAGTGGAGATGGGTATGAAGGTTAAAAATAGGGCCACAAAGAACCAGGTTATGGTGAGGCAGACTTGCCTCCTTACATTTTATTGTAATTATTTAACCCTTCACTCTTTATGAGTGAAATAATTCTCGAATCGGACATAAAACAACACTCAATCAATCGGTCACACTTCACTCGCTGTTCACAGCACTTGTTGCTCTGTACTGGGCACTACTGGCTCACTTAAGCAGGTTAAGTTCAGTTTGGTGTTTACTAGTCATTCCAATGATAAATAAGTCTGAAGAACATTTTTTGTGAGTCGACTGCACAGCAGTGCAACACCTAGGGATCAATTTACCTGGCATCTGTCTGTCTGTCCATCTGTCACACCTTATATCTCAAGAATTGTAAGAGGTTTAATTGTTTTTGATATTTGGTTAATATTTTGCTTGGCACTCTGACTATTTTTAAATACCATGGTTGCCAATCTTGTGACCCTTGAACTTACCTTTGACCTACTTATAAAAAAGTTTAAAGTGCCAATATTTAGCATATTTTTGATAATTTAAAAGAGGTAAGTCTATGTTATTAATAGCATTTGCACAATTTATCATAAATTATAATGAAAAATACCAGCATTATAGTTCACTTGACTTTGACCTTTGTTTTACTTTTCAAAAAATATTTTGAATGGTTAATTTAACTTAAATGTTTTGATTTTCTAGAAGTAGTGTTTTGATAATTAGCATTGATGAGCTCATGACACTCTACTTTGAAACTTTTTGATATCCAGTTATCACACAAACTAAAACTTAAATCCTATGAAAACAAATCGGGATCAGTATACCACAATGGGTGGTAATGTAGACTGACAATTGCAGTAAAGACAGCCTGAAATCTCTTTAGAAAAAAACTGTTGAAAAGATTATTGACCATTATATGGTGACGTCTCTATTTTAGTGAAAAATTCTTAAACAGGATGTAAAACGACATACAATTAAACAATCAATCCAACTACTGAGTGAGCTTTCTAGCTTGTGAACTACCAACTATGTCCAATTGGAAGTAATATTTGAATGTTTTAAAATGTGATTGTACATTGTAGGAAATAATGTTCCTATAGAAAAGTCAAAGAATGTATACATGTGAGATTCTGAAGTAGCCGTACATGATGAGTAGGAATTTGAAGTGAATTATGGGAAAAGGTATGTAATCCATTAGTTTGCTTTAAAGTTAGTGATTTTAAATCTGAACACACTGCGTAAAAGGAATTTTTCCGCCATATTCCTTTATTCACGCTATATTGTAGGGTCCCTATATAAGCCACTCACTTAGTCACTGTTCAGTGTAATCTGTTGTCACCTGTCTGTATAGACAGACTGACGTATGCTACATAGCTCTGGGTAGCAACAAAAAATTACTGTGTACTTCTTTCACGGCAGGAGAGAAAGATGCCAATGAAACTTACAACAGTCGCACAGGTCAGTGCAGTATACAAACATACACAAGTACACGTAACTGCAATAAAATAAATAAACAAAGGCAATGCAAGATAACCAGCATGAGCATGTGTCACCATTCCACTCCGATACCTGTGACAATAAAGCAGTCAGGTGTAACAAATGCGAAGAGTATACCCTGGTGCTGATATAGTAGATGATATATAATCGAATATGGTGTATGCCTATTTATGAGATGTGTTCAGCTTTAATTGATTGCTTTTCTCTGACTATATGTACCATAGGTCATAGTCATTTATGGTATATACAGTGGCGCCATGTTTATCTGAACACTTCACCTTCCAGATGCTATTTTTCGGGAATAGATTTTTTCCATGTCATTCTGTCTCATTAATCCAGAAATTCGTGTTCCACATCCGAACGGTCGATTTCTACTACAAAACGTAATAATTCATTGAAAAATGACTCGTTTATCCGGATGGTAATTTTTCAAGAAATGACTTTTTCATACTTATCTTCAGGGGTTGAAATTTTCCTGGAAATCCCACTAGCCCAGGGGCTACTGATTAGGAAAAAATTACTAGCCCAAATAAGAAACAGTTCAAAATTAATCAATATTATTTTTAACAAACTTAAGCCAAAGAGGCGTCCGGATAAACAAGGCACCACTGTATATATCTATAATACATGCGTATAAATGTACTTGCTATTAACAGTGAGTACAGTAAAATTTTCCCATTAAGTATATTAATTTTTTCTGTGTGGTTTACTTTATGCCCAATTATCAGCAGTTTCCATAATTGCCATATTTAAGTATAAGAACTAGGTTGCTATAGCAGACAAAAGGTAAATATAAAAAATCTAAAGTGCAAGGTACATTATCACTGATTGAATGTTAATTAGGGTCTGTATGAAATGTTAAAGCTATATAGGATTCACATTGTCCATCTTTATGTCTTTCAGCCAGCAATTAACACTTCAGTTGTGACAAAATAAACAAGTTTTAGTTTATGCAGTGTAATACTATACAGGGTATTGATGCATACAGTAAATGAGATCATTAGAATGGTGTATTTATATACTGTATATACTTGATATCAACAATTTTTCTCAGTGGTCTACTTTATGCCCAATTATAAGTGGTCTCCTCAATGGCCATATTTAAGTATAACATATGTATAAGTACAGGTTGCTATAGCAGACAAAGGTAAATATAAAAATCTAAGTGCAAGGTACTTTATCGCTGATTGAATGTTAATTAGGGCCTGCATGAAATGATAAAGCTCTATAGGATTCACATATTGTCCATCTTTATGTCTTTCCGTCCAGCAACACTTCAGTTGTGACACAATAAATAAGTTTTAATTTGATATGCAGTATAATATAATACAGGGTATTGATGCATATAGTGAATAAGATCATTAGAATGGTATATTTATATACTGTATATACTTGATATCAAGGGTTAATTCAATTTACTCAATTTTTCTCACTGGTCTACTTTATGCCTAATTATAAGTGGTCTCCTCAATGGCCATATTTAAGTACATGTATAAGTACAGGTTACCATTGAAGACAAAAGGCATATACAAAACTCTAAAGACCATGATACTTTGATACTGACTGAATGCTGATCTGGACCCTTGAAAAGCACTTAGTCTTAGTCTTATTTATATGACAATGTGTGGTTTGATATAAGTTAACTGAATTACCTAGGTAACCATGGTAACATATTTCTATCTGTTTTTGGATGTTTTTGCATAAGCAAGGGCTTGGGTCATGCATAAACTTTTCACATTTTTCAACTTCTTCTCAAGAACTACTGGACAAGTTTAAACCAAACTTGTCACAAAGTATCTTTAGAATAAGGATGGCAATGATTAACTGGTTTATTAACTATTAAGAAAGATCATAACCAGTTAAAATTTTCATAACCAGTTTTGTAACCAGTTACAATTTACATACTAACCACTTAGTAGATACAGTAGCTGCAACGTTATTGTTGACAACTTACACGAAAGATCATATTAGACGAACGATTCCGCACGATTCACACACGATAAAATCTGTTACACGAACGATCCTTCACACACACAATTCTACACGTTACACGATCTTACATGATTGCTAACGGAAACGCACTATTCTTCACGCAAAATAGTTCAAATTCTTTAGGAATGGATATTTTCAAAAAGAAATAAGGCTTAATACTTATTTTAGATTTCAAATAATGATTGATTTTATTTCATCAACTTTGAAAAATGAAAAAAAAAATAGAAATGGATATTTCTGGAACTAAATACATGTAAGATTTATGAATTATTTTAGATTACAAAAAATTATTTATGTAATTCTCTGACTTTAGAAAACTGATTTTTTTTTTTCGTTCTATCAGAAGATGCATGTACATGTAGGTGGACCTTGAGTTTTGATTGAATTGGATTTCATAATATGCAGAAAGGGACAAGTTTGAAAAAAATGGCATAAAATGAATTAAATTATAAGTTATATCCACATTTCAATTTGTGAATCTCTAAAATCAAGAATTATTTTACAAATCATTTATTTGCAGAAATTAAAAAAAATAATCAAAAGTAACCTCCAGAGATAACACTGATAAACGAAACCCCGAGAATCATGTCGTGTAAATGTACATTCACCGACTAAATACTTATGTAAGCATTGAGAATTATTTATTTGTAAAAATGTTTATTTTTGATCTATTGATTTTAAAAATATCTTGACCATAATTAGCAATAAATATAATTAACATCAGAGAAAAAAATCAAACATCTAAGTACGGTTTATCAGAAAAAAAATCATGCTATTTGAGGAGAACACAATATTGTACGACTTACTATATTGTTTATTTCCAAGCGATAATTAGTTCATTCTGTTTTCAGTTATGTAAATCGCGCTTCATTTCTTTTTAATTTGGATTGAAAAAAAAAAAAAAAAACAGACAAGTGAAATGCTTGTATAACAAAAACATTCCAATAAAAACTTACAAAACAAAATTTACACGTTTCTTAACGCACGATCACGCACGATTAAAACCGCAAACGATTGAGTCTGATACACGCATGATCTCGCACGTTACACGAACGATCATGCATGTTATACGAACGATTTTACACGATTCTTTTGTCAACAATAACGTTGCCGCCACTGTAGTAGGGATGGCAATCGAATACAGAATTGCAAATCGGTTAACGGTAAACCGCAAAATGTTCCGACCAATTAACCGGTTAATCGTATCAAACTACACAATGTCATTTTCTTGACTTTTTTCAAGTACCTCTATTCCTATGCACAAGAAGTCTTTAAAAAAAGTTGTTGGAGGTCAAAATCATTCAATTTGTCTTTCTTGATCATAAAACTACGCGCATATTTTTTTTCAATAGACAAGAAAAAATTCAGAAAACCATGAACCATGCCTGAGATATCGTGGATAATTTTCATGAGCGGATGTCACACAAGTTCATTCTTCATTATCACCGTAATCAAAACTAAGTCTAAATTGTATCACTTAAGGGGAAGAAGGACCTTGAGCTGAAAAAATACTTGTCATTCAATTTTTTTCATATTTTGTATATTTCTAATTTAGTATGTCCCACATATCTTAAAGCAGTTATATCAGTAGGTTTCTGACCTTATTTTAGAAATATTGATTGACAAATAGTATGCCCTGCAGTATCTAAGTGGAGTTTTAATTCTTCATGTTTCCGGGCCCAATACTGTGTCCATAATGGGATTTTTTAAGCATATATAAAAAATATGCAAGTGGACATGTATCTCTTAAAATATTTCAGAGTATGAATAGGTTTAAAATTCGAAAAAGCAATTTTATCCTGTCACACCGCATCTGGATAGGGAAAATTACGTACTTTTTGAGACAACTTAAGCAACAACAAAAACGTAATTTACAAAAAATTCTATCATTCAATATTTTTAAATTTATGTTGAAATGCAAGTCCTTCAAATTATTGGTTAACTGTAAAAATTTTGAATGGTGAAGCTGACCTCAATATTGCACAGGACATCATTACAGAGGACATAAGCATGACAAAAACGTGTCATATTTACATTTCTTGAGTACGGGAAAAACCAACTATGACGTCACACGTAAGCTAAATAAGCGAAATAAGATATGCCTACATAAGATTTCTGTCATCAGCCATGCAATCATAATTTTTATGTTCCCCGTTTCTCAAAATATTTCATCACATACTGATTATGACCTGATTTTACATAATAATACCGCCCCTGTATTCACCGAGTATGATCTTGCTGTACTAATAGATCGTGTATGACGTCACCGACTTGTTGGACGTGCAGTTTAGGGAAACAGAGGAGTGGATCAATCTTTTTCATAATTTGTTAATGTTTACATGAATGTTAAAACTTTTTACTTTTTTATATAAGATGGCAATTTAAGTTAAAAAAAAATGTCAAAAAATTATACAAGAACTGATGCTTTACACGTTTTGGACTTATATAAACGGAGATTATGACATAGATAAAAAGAGTCATGTGACCATGTGTCCTTCATCCCCTTAATTTACAATGTTTGTATTATAATCTAATGTGATAGATAACTGCAAAAGATACACACACACCAATTCATGGTACTCAATGGTGATTATTATCATTAAAGAATTAGAGGACAGTCGGGGTAACGACATGATGTTTTAACAGTATACATATCTCAGACTGACCAATTACCCCGCAATTTTAATCTGGAGAGCCATAATGACCTCCCACTCAGCCTAAATAAATAAATGAAAACGCTAAATTAAATGTTTAGGTAGGAATTTCTATTTTGAAAATGAATTTTAGTACATTGCCTTCAGTTTTACATATATTATAATTTTTTTTACGACTAATCGATTGCAGATTTTCTAATCGATTGCCATCGTTCCAACCGAGTAATCAGTTAACTGGTTAGAAATTGCCATCCCTAGTAAATACTTGTTGTATTTGTATTTACTTTTTCAATAATATTTTCATTTTTTGAAATAAAACTTGTAACATGTTTCAAACTGAAATGTGACAATCAAGCAGTTACCATATCTTGCCGAATAAAATATGCATTGGTTTAAATATGCACCACCTTTTTCAGCCTGATAACTTGGGGAAAATTGCAGCTCGGTTGTAAAGATTATTTGCTACAAAATCTTATTTCGTACAGGGCACAAGTTATTTAAACATTAAGATTTTAACAGACTTGAAATTTCTTTGACAATAACTTAAAGATAAGTCACTTGACATATGTGTTGTAATCAACACACACCCAAAGCTTAAAAAAATGAAGAACGAAGGTTATAAATCGACCTCTCAAATATGAAACAGGGCTCTCAATTGTCTATAATTGGGGCTGTTCAAGGGCCCCACTCCCAATTCAAAAAAAGGTGCCTTTTTTCCCAATAAATGTGTTAATTTTCCCAATAGTAATTTCTCCCAAAAATTAAAGAAAATATAGCTGGATATATACCGGTAATAACTTAACATGCTATTCATATTCCTCTGTTTTATAAAACAAATTTAGTTGATAATGAAGACCGGAAACCCAATATATATGATTTTAAAGTACGTATAATGGTTATTCCAAAATTTCCTAAAAGGTCTTTATTTTCCCAATCTTCCCAAAAAGCAGTGTGAAAATGAAAACAATTATATGTACAGCAAATAAGAAGTGCCCTATCTTGTCAAAAATGTGATTGGAATAGATAGACCATTTCTTTATCCAGGTGAATATCATTACCACTACATTTTCAAAATGGTAATTATTTACCGCTACATACTCATTACCGCTGCAAAAAATGTACACATTACCACTACATTTAAAAGTTTACATTGCGAATACATTGCCTCTTTCATTAGCCAATGGATTATGCATGTACAGATTGATACAAAGTACATGTACAACATATCCAAGCATAAGACCTTTTTCCACTGCTCACCATGGGAGACGAAAGTAGGGCTTAACAGGGTGGCTTTTTCCCACTTTTTTTATAAGTCCCCTACCGGTGAAACCAGAGGGAATTATAGGTTTCCTCTGAGTCTGTCCATCTGTCTGTCTGTCCCTCTTTCAGTCTGTCCCATTTGTTTTCCGCACTTTTTTCTAATTGCTTGCAGATATTGAGCTGAGTTTTGGTATGTAAGTGTATCTTGATGAGTTACAGTTCAAGTTTGCATTTTGTTATGCTTCTTAATCAATGATTTTTAATGGAATTGTGGCAATTCAATTTTTAGTGGGAACCAGATTACACTTGCAGGTAGGGGACTAGTATTGCTAATGCAATACTCTCAAAATGCTTGTTTAATCTTAATTATAGTAGGTATTTAAGTATGCAAGTACAATACTGTACATATAAATGCTTGTTCAAACTAAAGTTTTTCTCGTAATTTCAGCCCAATGCAACAGAAACTAAAAATTCAAGAACCTATTGGTAATTAATCTGATGTTTTTTAAATAGATTGATCGAAAGTACATGCAATATAATTCATACTATATAAAGGTGCAGTGTTTAATTGATTTGTTACAAAAAAGAGCAATGACCATATCACCAATGCTAATGTAGTGGTAAATATTTTCAATATTTAATAAGTTCCACATTTTTTTTTTCACAGTGAAATGGTAAAAAAGAAACTGCTAGCGCTACTGTGCAGACTACCATCAATCAACATGATCAACAAAATCAAGTAATCCTTCTGAGTAAGTGACCTGTAGTATTATCTGTTTTCACCTAGGGCAGTATGAGAAGGATGAAAGTTATTATACTCAATACACAAGTTTGGAGATTGTAGCTCTTCAACAAGAGAAACACAAAAAGAAGCCATATCCGCATGAAAGTGGCAGAGATTGTTGATAAAGTATACACAATCATGATTAAATAAATGTCAAAATGATGGCTTAATTAGGGCCTTTTAAAATGTAATTAATATTAAAGAAAGATGATACATGCATATTATGTCAAGCAATGATGATTTTGGTGATCATATTGAGCTATACTTTAGTACTACAGGTTTTTGGATGCTTGAGTCTCTGATTGACAATATATATGTAGGTTTTGGAGACCAGGTCTTCCAATAATCTGTCAGAATTCCCATGGGTACCAATTGCAACCTGTTGTTAGGCTAGCAGACCTCTTTTTATATTCATATGAAGCAGAATTTATTCAAAATCTTACACATGAGAAGAAGAAAACACTTGCTGTGGTCTTGAACTCGACAGTGAGATATATCGATGACATATTATCAATTAACAATAGTTATTTCCATTCATATGTCAACTATATATATTATACCCCAGTGAGCTTGAAATAAAAGATACCACAGAGTCTGACACATCTGTTTCATGTTTGGATATTATTTATTTCCATCCCTAATTAAAATTTTATAAATTGATTATGTACATGTAATATTAAATGCATGTTTCTTGGAAAGTAATGTTTTAAGTGTTTCCTTACTACTATTAAGGATTTTCATGGTATATCAGATTCTTGTTTATTATCCTTTTCTAAGTGATACTTTTCTCTAAGCAGTAAACAGGCAGTTGTATCACTAATGATAGGTGGAGACACATATCAAGTTACCTACAGTTACAGCCAAGGTTTTAATGAAGAATCATCTGGAGTCTGGCAGTGAGAGTGACAGTCGGCAGTGGATACTCACTCCTCTAAGGCACCTGATCCCACCTCGGATGTTTTTGAGGTAGAGGTTGCACTGCTCAAATCATAATTTGAATGGACTTTTGAGCTTAAATACTATTCGTTGTCTCCATATTTCGTTTTATAAAATCTAGTTTTAATTAGGATGATTGAAAACAAATGAATCATCAATCCCTTTGAGAGAAGACACTTCCTAGATTGTACAAATTTATTCTAAAAAAAAATAGTGGAATCTTTAAAATTATTACGAGGGGAAAGAGTCAGTGTTTCATTTAGAATCCTGACGTGCAGTGATCAGATGCCTATATATTAGAGATCCATTTTTCTTTCTTCGTATTATTATAAGATTTTTCCAGTGTGTTTTTTTCCCAGATATTTTTGGTATTTATTATTTTAAATTTTGAGCTGATTAGTGCATCCAAATAAACAGTTATAGACCAGTATATTGAACATGTCCTACTAGCAGGTTTATGAAATATATGGAGATAACAAACAGTATTAAAGCTCAAAAGTTCGTTCAAACAATACAATTCAGGAGCAGAACAATACGGACCTCTAAAACATCAGAGGTGGGATCAGGTGCCATGGAGGAGTGACCATCCCCTGCTGACCAGTCACACGCGCGGTGTGCTTCCTGTCATGATCCGGGAAAAATTAGAAAAATCTGTATGCAATTCAGTGTGTAAATAATGGCCTGGAAATTAGATTTAAAACGTCAATCAGCACTTGACTTAATGATAGATTGTATTTTCTGACAAGCAACAAGGTCATTGTATCGACCATATAACTATTGTAATGATGACTTTAAACAAGACTGATGATATTCTTGTTTCATCAACTTGTTTGTCAATAACTTACTTTGTTTTAGAAATTGTTCATAGGTAGAGCATGCTCTTGCGTATCGAATCAACAGAGAGATATGAACCCTGTATGCAGGTGATGAGGGTATATTGCTGCATAAGTAAGGGAAGTTAATGATTGAAAAGTTAGTCATAAAGGTTTGTTGTTAGGTTACCATTAACCTCTTTTTATAGAAAATTATCAAAATATGAAACAGATGTGTCAGACTCCAGGGATAGACTTTAACTTTCATATTCACTTGTCCTTTGGGACAACAAATTTTGACTTGTCCAAATGCAAAACTTGGTTGCCCAAACCTTAGAAAGAAGAAAATATGGGTAATTTAGTTTATGTGCAATAAAGTACTTTCTATTGGCAAGTTAACTGCCAAGACAAATGTTGATGTGTCAGTTATCCTACAATTGTAAATTCTGTACATGTATACCACTGTCCTTTCATTTATCCTGAAAACTTGCACTGCCATGCAGCAATATATATTTTCTTTAAAATAAAATTCATATTTTAAATATGTATATATATATATTATTTTGATTTTTTTCTCTGGAAAACTGAGGCCACACTAAAGGAAAACAGTTGTTATGTTATGAAACATACATATCCTGATCAGAATACATTGTTTGCCGAGAATAACTGGTGTTCTCTGAGTGAAAAAACAAACTATTCTTGTTTAAGAAACTATTTTTGATATGTTCTTGGCAGAAAGTGTTATTGTTTTGTTTAAAACTAATGCAAGATATGAAAAAAAAAAGTTTTTGTCTGAAATATTCACTTGCCCAATCGGACAAGTACATTGGCATTTTCACTTGCCTTAACTGGGAATTAACTTGCCCCGGGCAATCGGACAATGGTTAATGTCGATCCCTGGACTCTGTGGTATCTTTAAATTATCAAGCTCATTGGGATAATTGTGTTGAAATATGAATGGAAATAATTAATATCGTGAAGTCACGTGTATCGGACGCACTTTTTTTTTTCAGAAAAATTGTTCAAAAGTGTGGGTGCGTGCATTACATAGGAACTAAATTCAACCCCTTTTTCTGGACATTTTTTCTTAACTCTTATGAGTGATTTTCACTGTTACCACATTGTAAGTTTATTACATATTATTCCCCAATTCTTGAATGATAGTCACGTATGACAGATCGCTGATAAATAAATCAACAAACAGAAATATAAAAAGATATTTCCATTAAAATATTATTCAAAATTAAATATATATATATATGTATATTTATAATAAATTATCTTTTTCTAACTTGGATATCATCACTGCCAAATTTAACTCCTCTCGACCCTAATGTAGGTCATATTTGTTTATATAACAATTTCCAGCCATTTGGTTTTGAAACAACTGCCATTTTAAACAATACACTTGTAATCAGTAAAGTTTATTTAATGATAAATATTTTACACACCTTTTTAGTTACCTGGTATCACTTGTATACATAAGTGTGACATTAATTACGCTTGGGATGATTTGTTTACGTAAACACAGACACCTGCTTGGAATGCATTTTCAGCACAATATTGTAAAATGCTTAGGGTTATAGGGAAAAAAAATACAGAACTTAATTTTTAATTTATACCAATCAAATAACAATTAAAATACAGACTATACTTAAATACTTATAAATAAAGCTTATATGTAAACTGAATTTTCCAAGAAAATTAGAAGTTGTATCCTACTTTCGTTTTTGAAATAATATGAATATTTTAACTTTTTAAACTTTTTCTTTGGAATAGTTGTGCTGTGAAAATAAGAGATACATCCGCATTTTTGGGGTAGCGTTTTATCCATAGGAACTGCATTTTTCTCAGGATTTTCCCCCCAAATTTGGGGGTGTGTCTATTACAAGACTACGGCCTTTACACCTGACAATATGGTACTTCGTCAATATATCTAAATTAAAGGTGACAGCATGTATTTTCTTCTTCTCATGTATAAGATTTTAAATAAATTCTGCTTTGTATGAATACAAAAATAGGTTTGATAATAACGGAGCACAATTGGTACCTATGGAAATTCCAAGAGATTTTTGGAAGACCTTGTCTCTAAAAACCACATAGATATTGTCAATCAGAAACTCAAGAATCTTTTTAATATCAACTTCAGAGTACTTGTGTGTACAATCAGTGTTTTTTACAAATAATTTTGCAAATGACCAATGACAAGATAAGTTAGTTTTTGAGTTCCACTTTTAATGAAAAAGCAGCTGTCAATAAACAAATCTCTCGTCCATACAAAAAACAAAAAAGCATACCAAGGGTGATAATCTCGAAACTTAAGCATTGATCTGTTCGAAATAATTTTTTTTTATTGACATACGTTTAAGGATAAACAACAATACTTGATATCGCAATTACTTAAATTAGCGGAACTCTTTCACGGAGGTAGGAAACGTCTGTTGGATGGGGGCAGTGTACTATTGAATGCAATGCATGATCGATCATTGTGGAATTTATAAGGACTGATAAGAAAGAAATCCTAGAGAAATATCTTGCTAAACATGCGCTGAACCAGCCTAATAAATTTTTGAGAGGAGCTAATCCTGTATGTTGCATTTTTTACGATACTTTTTACTAAGCGGACTTTTCTTATTAAATTCTAAATGAAAATCGTTACTTTTGAAAGTTGATAAAATACTCTAAACTTTCCTTACTTGACAAATCTACTATTTGGAGTTCAACTCTTGGCAATACATTGTAGTTTCGGCATAATGATTATTCGAATCATTCCATTGTCACCACTGTAATGTTATGCCCCAGAAATCTTGTGAGATTTAGAGCTTCCTCGACTCCCATGCTAATTAAAAAGCGGTTGTAAGTAAGATAATTGCAAGATACTCGCAATACTACGTATTGCAAAATACTGGTACTTTTAATTCAATTCACATGTGCTCACCTTTAAAATGCATTCACAATTCTTTATAAAGTTGGTGACATTATGTATGAAAATATAAAGTCTAGTTACATGTTTAAAGTATGCTTGTGGTACATGTATGCATTTTTTTTCTTGAACAGTAAAGGAAGGGATGAGAGAGTTCATTGAGTGCCATAAACTTTCATTTGTATGTTATTTTTTAGAGATGGAGTAGTACACAAGCACAATTTTTTTAAAGAAAGAAAAGTCAATGGAATGAAAGCCAAAGAAAAGGTGAAGTGAATTGTCACTCATTATATTTTAAATTTAATGTGGACATGGTCATTATTTTAGTTATGTCATAACCTTCTTGTCAATTTTAAGCAGTGCAGACAGATGCATTTCTTATTGCTTTGAATAGAATAAATTATCAAAAAAGTTTGTATATGTTTTTTGATATAGAATTTATATTTTAAAAAAAATTATCAATTACTGCAGTTTTGAATTTCAGTACACTAGAAATTTTTCTGCCCTGCCATGAATATGGCTGGGGCATATAGAGTTTGTCATGTCCGTCTTCCGTCCTTTCAACCTTCTGTCTGTCCTTCCATTCCGCTTTGCTTTTAGCTCAGTTCAAAACTAAGTTTCAAAGAAACTATTCAAGATATTTTTATCAATCTTCATATGCTGATACGTATTGATAAGAGGTATTCAATTTCATCAACGTACCTTGACCTTTCCTTTAACTTTGACCTCACTTTTCTTAAATTAGTGTTTAGCTCAGTTTTAAAGAAACCATTCAAGATAGTGTAATCAAACTTCATATGCTGATACATACTGAATCAACATTTTTTTACCTTGACCTTTCCTTTGACCTTGACTGTACTTATCTTAAATAAGTGTTTAGCTCAGTTTTAAAGAAACCATTCAGGATAGCGTAATCAAACTTTATTTGCTGATACATACTGATGAGAGCTATTCAACTGAATCAACATTTTTTGATTTTGATTTTTCCTTTGACCTTCACCTCACTTTTTCTAAATTAGTGTCAAACTTCATATTCTGATACAGACTGATGTAAGGTATTTGACTGTATCAACATTTTTGACCTTGACTTCATTTTTCTTGAAATGGTGATTAGCTCAGTGTTAAATAAATGGTTTCCATTCAAAATATTTTTATCAAACTTATTTTGCTTATGCGTATTAGTGAGAACTATTCAACTGCATCAAAAATGTATGACCTTGAACTTTCCTGTGACCTGGACCTCACTTTTCTTAAATTTGCATTTTGCTTAGTTTTAAAGAAACCATTAAATATAATTTTATGTGAGCTTATGCACTTAACAGAATTTGGTGGGAATTTATCATCTATATCCAACTTTTTCGATTTCAATGTTAAAGAAACTATTTTAAGATATTCTCATCAAATTTCATACACTAAAAATATTTTTATGTTGCATTACTAATATGCCCACATGGTGCAGTGGTTAAAGCTCTAGAGTTGCGGAGTAAGGAGTTGATCCTTATGTCGCTGGTTCGAATCCCACTGTGGAACGTGGAGACCGTATAAACCGAGGTCCCATGTCACAGTAGGTGCTGGCATAAAAAGATCCCTCACTGCTTAATGGCCCTTAGTGCCGAGTATAGGTCAAAATTTGCAGCTCTCCACCGGCAAGTGGTGGCGTCTCCATATGAGTGAAAAATTCTCGAGAGGGATGTTTAAACAATAAACAAGCAAATAAATATTAATATACCCTCAGCAGGGCATTCATGTCCTATGGATATATTTCTAGTTTTGCCCTCTTTTACATTTGTACATGGATATACTTTTTATTTTTGCTCTGTAAACAACAACAAAAACATTATACCATATAATATGCACAAAATTATATGCTAGGAATGTATTGTGAAAGATGCATTTCAGCTGACAAATGTAGCATCTTTAAGCCAGCTTTTTAAAAATTTTTCTGAATGACTTTCAGGTACTTCTTTTATATTTGCAACTCATTTATAGGGATGTATTAGTATGGTAGCCTGTCTGCCAACACCTTGTAGATGAGATTCTAGCACATATTGTGTGAAATGGTTCTCTTAATTGACATGAGAAGGTCACTATTTTTTATCAAGATAAAAATTACTTGTATGTCTTGTAATAACATTATTTAATATATCCCTTTCATAGCACACATGTTCGTTTCAAAGAGAAGAAAACATTTATAATTTTTCAAGGTCAATAATCTCATGGATGAAATGCAAACTGTACTATTTGAAATAGGTGGTATAGGTATTTCAGAGTCTGTATTACAGCTTGCCATTTTATTGTTGGAGGGAATATTCTCATCAAATAAACTATGTAAAGATTTGTTTTTTAATACAAAGTATTTTTATAAGTAATAACTTCATTTCAACTTACAATGAACAGTTAATCAATGCATCTCACTTTGTATCTAATGCATTTTTAGAACACAAATTTGTGGTTTAAAACATGTTGTAATAGTTTAATAATGCTATTCATTTTTTTTAATTGACAAGAAATGAAAATGTAATGATTATTTCAAAATAGTGTTTTATTCCTCTTATGTATATTTATAGATATGTAAAAGATTGTTATTTTTATTGATGTTATTTTTGTGTACAAAATACTAGTTATTTATTACTTTATACAAAACTAATGTTGTGAAGATTGATAATAATAGAAGTCCTTATGCATATATTGAACAGTATACAAATGTCACCAATGTAATACACATTTACAAATAAAATGAAATTTTACATGACTTGCACATATTTGCATTATTTGTTACAGTTATAACAAATCTAATTCATTGTATTTATTGTTTCCAATTTTTATTGTCTATTCAAACATGGAAAAATTATATGTGTAATGATGTTAAAGACACAAGAATATGAATTAAAATAAGACTGTATGAACTACCTTTAGATTTATGAATTCAGTAGACAGTGACTGTGACAAATGTGTATTTAGGATAGAGATCTTAGACATGAGAAGAAAAGGGGTTGTTTTACAAACTTTTTTTTGCATGGGGAAATATGGACATTTTTATACAACAACAAATGAAGTTACTGGAATTGTGAAGTCTACGTGTCTTCTGTGAGTAGACATCTTTTGAAACAAAGGTAGCTTGGGGCCAGAAATATTCTAGACCCAGTAGTAATGGTCTTTTGCACAATGTCATAGTCACTGTATATCAAAGTATTAAATACTTACCAATAATTGTTTGTAACCTCAGAGTATGATCCTTACACAGGTTAATACAGGTCAAGGCCATAGGGTTTAGAAATGTAATAAATATTCAGATAAACACATAATTCTGTTTGTTTATTTGTTTGTTATACATCCTTCAAGAATTTTTCACTAGTATTGAGACACCACAACTTGCTGGTTGAGGGCTGCATATATAGACCTGTACTTTTGAGCAGTGAGAGGTCTTTCCTTGTCCCAGCATATACTGCAACAAGGGAATTTGGTTTCATTGGAAGAACCGGTTTCCATGTCCTTCAGTGGGATTTGTACCTATGACTTAAGGAACAAGTCCTTACTCCACTACTCTAGAGCAAATGCTTTGACCACTGCGCCAAGCGGGCAATCACATTATTGTTATACTAGATGTAAATCAAGGCGAAGGGATAATTGTGACTTGGGGATGTATAACAACCCTGCATCAAGTTCAATTTTTGACCGCTATAAAATAACTTCCAAAGATTATATTATCCTAGGGTTCATTATGCTCAGAGTGTATGACATAAATTGGATATATAAAATTCTAAAATACATTTTTTTTTTTTTAGAAAAGTACAAGGTTATAGTTTCAAGAGGTCATATCTAGCATGTACAGGTGATTGTGGCTTAGATGATGATTCTATACCATAAGTCATCATGTGACTACGACGATTTAAATCAATGTGTTACTTTGGTGGTCGATGAAATATTTTCTTAACATAACAATTACTATCGGTCATTTACTATATTTCCATAAGATTCAGGACATGAAAATTTGTCTACGAATAGACATCACCCTATTAGTTCCTTCTAGTTAAAATAAGGAATCATCATACTGGGTTTTAAAGTGCCTAATATTTTACTTAAGATAAATGCAAATTGACCAATAAATACTGGTATGAGAAGTACATTTATGCATGTGTAGTTTTTTATTTAAATAATTAAAAAAAAGAAAATGGTCTACATAATCACGTATATATATATATTCTGGTCTCCTTTATGCATTATATATACTTGGTCTACTTTAACCCTTCGGGATCCTCATAAAATATATACATGTCTACCTTAAACCTCCAATGTATTTACAAAATATTAAGGAGACCAGAAATGTCGTATATTTTTCAGGAAGCAACATTTAGGGCTGAGGGGGTAAAATTTTCATTATTGAAGCCTATTAGAATATATTTGGGTGAAAGTGTGAATCAGAATGTCTCAAATAAAAGAAATGAAAAATGTCTACTTAATGCCTCAAAATAAGTGCGGTCTACTTTATGCCAAAGTCCACCTTATATATATATATATATATATATATATATATATATATATATATATACCAACACAATTTTGAGGTGATGAAATACTGATACATGAGAACTTAAGTCAAAATTTTAAAAAATTCCTTCTCTGTAATGTTAAAAAAGTGTATTTCATAGGAAATTGTACAATTTTTTTTTTAGCTTAAAACTTCTTTTGGAAATATCTAATGTTTTCTTTATATTTGTACTTCTATTGATCAATGACTCTCTTACTGTGGTACAGACCTCAATGTGACCTCTACAATTTTGGCACCATGGCAGCTGGCTCTTAATAAACAAACGTAGGCGCCTATGCAAATGTTTTGGAACCTGGCAAATTTTTATGCTCCAACTTAAATTCTCTGAGTGTAGTGACCTACTAGTAAGTAGAATCTTCTTATTATACTACCGTAAATCTGGAAAATGTTTATTGTTGATAAGTTTTTCTTTTTTTTTTCGTGCAATGCATTTGCAAAGTTAACTTTCGTAAAAAATAATCAGGAAAAAATAAAAGTAAATTAAATGCAAAAGAATTTAAATATTACGCATTATTTCGAAAGCAAAACTCCATTTTTTATCAGATTTCGATCATTCATCTCTTTCCCTTAGACTTGGATCTAATATAATATTCTTTTAAACTTAAATGAACTGGAATATTTTTATTCTTTATCTCAAGATTTCTTTACATGATTTTATCATTAAACATAAATTGTGACCTGACACTATGTAGACACTATGACTATATTGAATGATACTTTAATTGTCAAACATATGACCGCAGCACCTGTTCAACTTACTTCGTTTTACAATTATCGATTTTCTAAAACCCAACATTACCTGGGGCATCTATCCCTCTAATGATATGTTCGGAATCTTTTATTTTTCGGTGTTCTTTATATTATGATACCCGAGGAGTTCGCAGTATACGTAGCTTTTGAGAGATTTAGTGAGACTACAACGAGACTGTTAATGGATCAGGTAAATTGTTCACGAAGTTTAGCCAAGAAGCTACTAGCACGCGGAGACATGTTATACTACGTTTCAGTTTTCACAACTGTATAACATCAGTGGATATGTATCTTGATCTCTTTCTAGAATTCTTCCAAACATTTTTCGTCAGTAATTCCTTATGACGTTTGTTTTTGGCAGTTAATATTTCCGCCTTGCTTGCTGGCTTTAGACTAAATCAACATGCTATATTAGGTATCAACGTGACTTATAACCGACAAATCAGCTAAATGAGTTGCATGCATCGCATTATGTGTTACAAATGTCTACGGATACTACAGGTTTTTTACGCTTAGAAAACTAAAAGGTCATAAAGGTCCGGAAACACTTTTTTTATGGTTTTCAACAGAAACACACCAAAGCAATTTCCTGACTACTGCCAATTTTATTAATGAAACTGGTTCTACCCTAAAACCTTTGAATAGATCAACCAAAACCACATGTGGAAGTTAAATATAATATAAAAATAAGTGATCTATTCTCAATTCTTTTCAACTGGGTCACGCGTGCACTGACTCAAATAACCGAGTGTCACATAAAAGCAGACCTGTACAAAAAATTAAAAAAAAAAAAAAAACCTAGACATAATTACATGTATGTACGCAAAATTGTGTTTTGGCCTCTTGTTTGGAAAAAAACCGCGCCATTGGACAATATTGGTAAAAATGCTTACAGTTCCTAAATTTGAGTCACTTTAAAATGGTCGCCGATTTGGCAACTTATGGAGAATATGTAGACGCCATTTGGAAATTTTAGGCGACATGACGACTAAATTTAGTACCTATTTAGAGCCTTGCGGTATTCAAAATAAATCTTTTGACATATGATTGACCTTGTCATTGACGTTCTTTAATGTTGTGGATTTCCATTCTAAAGGAATGCAATGGAGTGGTTTAAAATTTGTATTCAGTTTACATAAATATAAATAAGTACATTGTACTAGTATATGTCATTTCAAAATTCATTCCATTGTGTACATTGTGTACATTGCCATCGTATTACTGTTGCGCATGTTTTAAAAATGTATAAAAGTATAAAATAAATTGATATTTTTCAATCAACTTCAAAGATGTTCAAGGAGACATCACAGATATAAGAGTTGTTCATGAAATGAAGAAAAAAAAAACTTCATGCAAAACAAGACGGCAATCATAAGAAGTACAAATAAAAGGTGCAGAAATGGCTAATTTAATATTATCAAAAAGTGAATAAATATGCTTTTTGTGACGCGAACAATATCTGCATCCTTTAATGACATTAAGTAACTTATCCTTTTTAATATCATTACTTACATAGAATCAATCAGCATGTATTTCTGTGTTTCTAAGTTTCATCCAATCCTACATTCAGGGCTAAAGAAGTTCTAATCGTAACACAACGTTCCCCTCTCCCTCCCGTTGTAGGATAATGTTGAATTAATATATTAATATACTTACAGAAAATATGACATGAAGTCCCCGTGTCGAAAACGAGATTAAGGATAGTCATAATAAGAACACCGGGCACAAACACCACCTTTTTTTTTAAACATAAAAGCTAATACATAATAACTTAATTCATGTAAAAAGTACATCATATAATAAAACGTTGTTCTCAGTTGCAATTAGTAATTTATCATTCAAAATAGATATGCTGATAGGTCTTTCTTCCACATGCAATCTTTCTTTATAATTCCCTTCAATGTCGAAAACGGCAATAGATGAATTTTCAAAATCAGAGATAAATATATTATAGTATTTATCAAAAGATATTGATCCAGGATAACAATATAAGGTTTCGATTAATTCGCCATGCATACCTAACAAATAAACACATCGATTAATCATGTCTGAAACAGCATATAATTCGTTCGGAATACAACAAGCATGACGTAAGAAATATCCATTTGGAGGAAGATCTTTCATTGGTATTTCTGTCACAAAATTATTCTTCTGGAAATAAATCACTGCATTTGATGTCCACATCAATTGATTCAAACTTGGAAGGGATGCAAATACAGCGGATATGCCGGAGAGTGTTTTTTGCTCAACGAAATCTCGACTAAAAGATGTCATTTGGTTGTTCATCGACAGACAAGATATGCCATCTTCCCAAACAGAAACAGCTAGTGGTTGGTATCCTAGGACAGATTTCAATATTGTGCCAGATGAAAGGGAAACCATTTTTATTTTTGCATTAACTTTATCTACAGCAACAAACTGATTGTCATCTACCCATGCAATCCCGCTATATATTGGTTTCAACGTTTTATACATGTCATCCGTTTCTGTTAAATACAAAATTCTAAGCAAATTGAATTTGTATTTTCTGCGTCCCACTCTTACTTCTGTATTTTTGTTTGTGATTTCAAAGTCTTCTTCTGCTGTCTGCACTGCTTTTGAAGAATGAGATACGAAATCAGACAGGTTTGTATTTTCATCGGATTCCTTAGGAATAAACTTTCCACAAGTTTCGCTATTTGAAGACGTTAATGGTGACTGGGATTTGTTTTCTAGTAGTTCTACTTGTGACTCTGTTATTTGAATCGTTAAATTTGGTATGTCTTCCAAAAGACATTTATCTGAACTATCAGCTTTTGCAAGGTTTTGCAACCTTTCGTGAATGTCATCTAATAAATAAACAACTTCGCAGTCCCTTCCCTTTTGCATCAATTCAGAAAACTGTAATGATTCTTCAATATTTTTACATTCTTTTGATATCTTTTCAAATCCATTTTTAAGAGACTGAGTTCTCGGTGTCATTATATTCTCTAGCTGCATACGTATTTTATTTCTTCCTCTATCTATTTTGCTCACAGCCTCTGAACACTTTTTCGTGATATCGTTTTGTATTTGAGTTTTCAATGTGCTAAGTTTACTTCGTTTGGATTTTATCAAGTCTTTGTTTTTTTCCAAGGTGTATAATTTCAATGTCATTTCATTGTGTAATTGTTTTATTACACTTTCCTTTTCTTTTCTTACGTCTGAAATGAGTCGAGTGTTATGACCCTTGTGTTCCCAGATTGCGCAATCACAACATGCTGCTGTTTTGCATGTGATATAAAAGTATCGCAGCCCCTCGTTTGGGTGCAAGTGGCAGTTTTCTAAACACTGCGAGGATCTTATTTCATCATTGCGTTGTCCTGTCCGTATTTCCCTCAAAGACACTACTTTATGGTCTTTAGTGATGGTGGTATATGTGTGTCTTGATGTTGCACACTCTTCACAAAGCAAATCCAGACACGTGAGACATTGAGAGACTGCCGGTCTAATGTCTCCCAAAATCTTACAAAAGGAACACATCAGATCTGTGCATTCCATCTGTGTTTTAAGCAGATGGATCATGTTTTGTAGGTAGGTATTGGTTTTGACATCATCTAGATTCTTTATAAAGGTTTCAAAGCATACTGGACATTTGGATGGTTTGTTAGCACTATGCTGTTCCATGTAACTTAAAATGCAGGTCTTACAAAAAGTATGTAAACAAGGCAATGTCTTTGGATCGGTGTAAAACTCGGAACAGAGAGAACATTTCAGGTGACCATGTAGTGGAAATTTTGATTTTGAGTCCATTTCGATGAATTACATGTCAAACAAAGATGACGATGAAAACTTCTGTGTACTCAAGGAACTGTAAAAAAGTATTATGCAGATCAAGTTATGACACGAGAATCATTAAAAGAGAATTGAATTTTGATTGTTTCTACTAATACAACCTATCATTAAGTCAAATGCTGACTGACGTTTTTCATACTAATTGTTAAGCCATTATCTACACACTGCATTGTCTACGGATTTTTTCTGTTTTTTTTTCTGATCATGACAAGGAGCACACGGCGAGGATGTGATTAGTTGGCAGGGGATGCTCACTCCTCCATGGCACGTGATCCCACCTCTAATGTTTTTGGAGGTCCGTGTTTGCTCTGCTCCCGATTTTTGTATTGTCTAAATGGACTTTGAACTTGAATACTGTTCCTTATCTTCATATTTGATTTCACATAAGACTGTAGGTTTTAATTAAATATGCATCAGAATAAAAATCACTTTGGCTGAGAGAAAAACTGCGAACGTATGTCAAATATATTTCGCTATCGAAGCATATCATATTACTGTTGGCACACTGACTAACATACAAAAAGCTGAAATATATTTTAATCGAAACAATTCATAAAAATTAAAAGATTGAAAGATAACATTATCTGAAATATTTAATTTTTCATTTTTTGAAATAATAAAGTAAACATGAAGTCGGATTTCAGAAATTTTGAAATACACTTACAGAATAATCAAAGAAATACTTCAAGAACTCTTAATACACAGATTAACAAGCAAAAGCTTTAAGCTACCAAGAGAGTCGCTAAAATGTATCAAGGCAATAACTATAATCAATGTACAGAATGTACTTCGTGGATCGAACTTTCAATCACTTAGAGAAAAAAAAACCCATTTCATTAAACATATTAAATGATTCCATGTTTTATTAACAACAATTATATTACAGTTTACGAATGTTAACTCAGAATTCACTGAATCCATATCTACTTGTATATAACAATTAATATTTTTAGAACAAAATTTACACATTCAATTAACAGACTTTTTCAAGAAATGAAGATATATTGAAGAAGTCAAGATAAAATTTATATTGTTTTTTGCCTGAAAATTGCATATTTTGTACCATTATCTCAAAATTTACATCACTGGCCTCAAAGTTTTCTTTCATAATTTTACACTACATGATACTTCCCAAGCCAAAGCTTGATACAAGAAAATATTTATTGCCTATTTAGATTTTTAATACCCCAAATCTGATATTTTTTAGTGCAAGAAGGTCACACAGTAATTTTCGCGCATTAATTTGCAGGATTTTTTCAAAAGTAAATATTCAATCAATCTAACATGAAATAAAAATATATTTATTGCCATGATAACATGTTACAATATATGATTAAGGTTATAGAGATTAGCCTTTATGTTACAATTTAAATGCAAAAAGGTCAAGTTAATTGTACGGTTGCTCAGTAAGACTCACACTAACCCCCAGTTTTCTTTGCGCTTTTGAGTCATTATATATGAGTAGTTATATCTAAAATATCATTGATATAATTTATGTCAGGAGTGACATACCTTAAATTGTTACTCCTCCCCTATACTAAAAATTGGGAAACAAATGTGCATGAGAGTGCAAAATGTTTTATATTAAGAATCTTACAATGTTTTTCTCTAAGCCGAAGTGAATGCTGTTTTTTTTTTTTTATTCAAAAGATCATATTTAAACAAGAAAAAAATTCTGATCTTATTTTAGTAAGATTGTCTTTGTATGTATGTATGTATACTATGGCTAAATTACTTGAAAGTTGATTTAAAAATGTTAAATCGAAGAGATACAGAATACATGTCAGTAAATTGTCATAGATTTGTTTTGAAAAATTCCGTTGCTTACCCTCAACCGGGTACCATGAACTTTAATATGGCGTCTGTACACTTTCCGATTATATGAAAAGGTGAAAATAGATAGGAAGGTATGGCGACATGTTTTTGTTAAACTTAAGTTTAAAATAGGTAGATCACACCTTTCAAAATTATATGTCACATTTATCATACCTTCGCTAGAATACGCTTCTATTGTTTGGGATGGCTGCTCTAACCATGATGCCGAAAAGCTTGAAAGAGTTCAACTATCTGCAACTATGATTATTACAGGACTTCCAATTTTGTGTCAAGAGAAATACTTTACTCTGAAACTGACTGGGAAACGTTGAAATTTAGGCGCTATGTCGCAAAAATGTCTACTACAAAATTCATAATGGTTGTATACCTGAATACTTGAATGATATTGTTCCACACAAGCGTGAAAAAATATCAAAATATAATACCCGTAATAAAGAACAATTCACTGCTCCACGATGCAAATTAGAATTATATAAAAGGTCTTTTATACCCGACGCTGTGAAACAGTGGAATTTATTAAAGATAGAAACGAGAGAAGCCATCTCACTCAATGCATTTGGTAAAAACTTAACTACAGAAGTAAAAAATTCCCCAATCTATTTTTCATTTGGCAAACGTTATACAAATATAATCCACACTAAACATAGACACAACTGTATACTTAAATATTATCTACACAAACGAAATATTATTAACAATCCTTTATGTTCATGTGGAAAGTATGAAGATGTTTATCATTTCTTTTTTGCCTGTAGAAATTACCCGAACGCTAGGAACAATCTTTTTAACCGCCTATCTTTACTTGACGAATTACATTGGTCACTATTAACACAAAATTGTTATGGGGTGATGTAAAGAATGAATCTTCATAACACTGCTTTATCGCCCCCTTTTTAATGCAGAATTTTACCTTTTCAAATCAGAAAATTGTTATGTTATAGCTAAAGTCTTCAAGCATAGTCTGTATAGATACTCATAAAAGATTTTTTTGGGAAAGAGACTTTCAATATATACATTATATCGATTGAATAAAATCGTATACTTCACTGTAAAATCCCGGTTTGGCCATTACAGCTATGTAGGTCATTGTATTATTTGAATGAGAAGGCGGAGCGTCTAGGTATCACACCGGTAATTGACCAATCAAAATGAACTTAGATTCAAGAAAATTCAAGATTTTTCAGTTTGCCGGAGAATGTTTTTTGTCATTTTACCACTTTTATGTAGGTGTTGACCCTCTCTTTTAAATTAAGTCTCAGTCAGGATGTTTATTTTAGCATGATTTGTTAAACACATTAATGTACTGAAATATTAATAAATTACAAATTAAAGTGATGAAGAAATTTGACATATTTACACAATCAAAATATCAGAATAACCATAATTCAGCTAATAAAGTGCCATGCTCTTCTTTTGTCACTTCCTATAAATTTTATCAGCATTTTTTGTACACCCACCCACCTCCAAGAATCATGGAGGATGGCCTGATATTAGTTTCTTTGTTGCATTTATTCACATTTAAAAGTGTTAAGACCCATAAAAATGTTTAAGATTTATATTTTTAAATTTAATTGTTGAATTTTTGTGTAAATTTGGTGAAACAAAAAGCTGTAATCTTGAATTAATCATGCAAATTCATCAAACACCTTTGAAATTCCTGAGTAATTCAATGAAAAGAGGATAATTATGCATGTTCAATTGGAATTTCATGGCTAATTTGTGTCTGCAGAGAAAGCCAGTTACATAAATCACAACAATAAATTAGATCTGAATTGTTTTCTCCATTTTCTTATCATCAAAGCAAGTTTAATGGAGTGTCAGAGCTGTCTAGAACCTCCCCAGATGCTGATATCATTTGGACTGCCCTGTGTTACAACACAGCTTTTAGATAAACTTCTGCATAGCAGGTTGTAGACAAGTACCTAGGCTTTATTTGGAACATAAATTGACCAGATGCAGATTTTATTATCAGCCTAATATTTAACAATTTCTGTAAATTTTGTCATTCTTAGGAGGGTAAAATGCAATTTTGTTATGTAATAATTGCATAATGGTCTCCGACTTGTGAATTATTTTTTGTTTGTTGTGAAGAACAATGCATATACTCTCCACGGATACAAAATTGGTTGCCAGGCTTAGTCTATTAAGGATGAAATTCTGCTTCAAAATATGCACAAAAAAACTTCTGTCAGAGTGCTCAGTGTGTATTCTTGACAGCTCTGGAGTAAGGGAGATAAATGCATCATATCTCCAGCAATAATGGGAATTAGATCCCCAGACTTCAGGATGTTAGTGACAGTTATTTAAGAAATCTCAGGTGCAAAAATGAAAAAAATCTGACAACTTCAAAGGTCCTTCAAGGTATCACACCGGTAATTGACCAATCAAAATGAACTTAGTCAATTGTAGTTCCATACATAATAAAGAAATATTTTTTTATTGTGAGAATTTTTTTTTAATTTCCCTTATTCTATTTTTACATTTTTGGTATCTGTGCTTAGGATATTTTATGTACTTTGTAAAATATTAAAGGTTTTTGACAGGAACTATTTCTTTCGGGGCATAGGAGGCCACTTCCTGGGGTGCACACAGGATGTTTATAAACACATTGAATACACGTGGTTTTGAGGGTATTCCTGTTTGCGGATGGAAAAAATCAGAAAATGCCGTGTAGGTACCCTATTTTTTGGTGTCAGCTGATGTGACTGGTAACGTTTAACACTTCCTGCTAAATATTTTTTCATGAATTCGAATACCTGATTTTTAATGATTTTTTATTCTATATAGAATTACATAGTGAAAACAATTACCGGTGTGATACCTCTATCAAGTGTCATTAGTATGAATACATTAGCGTGTGTTCGAGGTGTAGTAAGTTTTATGATTAACTGACACCTAAAAAGCCTTTTTTCATGCTAGAGACCGACAATATTTAAGCATACATTTTTAATTTGCCTGGCTTAACTTAGATTTTTTTCTGCTTAACTAACGATTCG